AAGCCCATGTTCTTTCCACTACATCACACTTGAATTTATCTTGTAGGTAACAGAGAGGAAAGTAAGAGGATGAAAGTGTTGTTCTGGGAAAATTAATCCAGTCTCTCCCCCTCCTTCCCAACCCTACATGTGGCCTGATTGATCTTGTTATTAAAAGGGTATCTTTCATCATGTCTCTCCATTACCTACAGAATCGAGTCTCCATGGCTTTGCCAGGCATTTAAGATTCTTTACGATCCACTTTTTCAGTCTTATTCCCCTCATCCCCAGACTCAAACCCTCCCTCCATACAGCCTAACCTATCATTCCTCGTTTCCCATGTCTCTGGCTTGGAAGGTTTCCTTCTCTGCCTGTGACATTAATTCCATCAGCAAAACACGGACAGGGCCGATGACATGCCAGGCCCTGTGCTAGGTGCTGGGGACACCACAGCCAGGACAGAAGGCTCTCTGCGTCTGCCCTCCTTGTGAGGCCAGCTCACACCTTGCTCTTTCCTGGGGCCTTCTCTGGTCACTTGGTGTCCCACTGCCTGGCCCCATTCTGAATCCCCAGCACGCGGGGCTGCTGCTTTTATGGCACTCAGCCACATTTCCACCTTATAAGCAGGTCTGTTTTAAGACTTCCGCTGTAATGTATTTATTTCTGTGGGAAATGTGCACTCCAGGTTCCAAACAGCATTTTAAATGGCAATTTGGTCCTCAGGCCAGCCCACAAAAGCCTATTAAATAGATAATGGTCCCAGAGAAGTACAGAACCTAAATAAGTGTACCTTAAAAACTCTACAGGAGAAACCAGGAGTAAACATTTGCCTCCTGCACTTCCACCCACTGTCCTCCAGGGTCTGAGCTTCAAGCGACCATCAGGGGCAGAGACAGAGAAGCAGGCGGGAGATGGAGGAGTGGGAAGAACCCGATTTATATTCAGCAGATCTGGCTCTACTCCCAGCTCTGCCTTCACTAACTGGGTGGCCTTGAGTGAGTCCCTTCCCTCCCTAAGCCTTGCTATTCTCTTATAAAATGAGAAGGCTAAGTTAGATCACTTCTGAATCTCACAGATCAGCATAATATATATTTTTAAATATAGGTATGCAATACGGATTTTATATATTAAAAATAAATGTTATCAAGAAAGGACTTTTACAAAGAAATCACAATATGCTACAACCAGTCGCATTTTACAACCAGGGACTCTGTAACCCCCTTCCCCCAAATATGGTTATCATGTCAGAAAAACTGACAAGTTTTTAAACTGAAAACATTTAGATTCATGAAAAAAAAAATTGTCTTTATTTTTCCAGTTTTACTACAGATCAGAAAACTCCAACCCAGCCCAGCTTCAGTCCTTGGCCCGATGCTTGAGAACCACTGAGCTAGGAGACCTAGAGTTCACTCCAGCTCGATGTTTCTCCATTCCACAGGCTGGATAGAGACCACAAGACAATCAGCATGGGCAGCCCTAAAGGAGGATCAGCCGCAGGAGGAGCTGAGCTGAACAGCATGAAAGCAGGCAGTCAGCACAGGGATGGAAGCAGGGCAGCGTGGCCCGCCAGGGATTGCCCCACATCCCAGGGCTACCTCCTGCTCCTGTGCCCAGGAGCATTTGCAGGGAGGGCACCTGCAGCTATAACCTCCGAGGGCACAGACGCCCAGCCTGGAAGCTCTGGGAACTAACTTGTCCCACATACTTGACTGTGACACCTTCCACCCCAGTATTTTTCTGGAAGGCTGAGGGTCCCCAGAGGAACATTTTAAAAAATCTTTATTAACTATTCTGATCATAAACTAAGACATATTCATGTGAAAAACTTGGAAACCACAGAAAAGCATAAGCAAAGAAGCAGAAGTCCTCACAACTCCACCTTCCAGAACAACGACTGTTAACATTTTGATGCACTACTAATTCTTCATACACATAACTTCAGCCACCTGGGATTTGGTTTTATATCCTGCTTTTCCCCTAGTTATTACACTTAAACATTTTTTCACATCCTTAGATATTCTTCATAAACATCATAAAATGTTTTCATAATAAACCTAACATTCTGGTAAATATAAACATTCTTTATAAACATTGTAATGGACTGAACATTTCTTTTTTTTCTCTTTCTTTCTTTCTTTTTCTTTTTTTTTTTTTTTTTTTTTTTTTTTTGCGATGGAGTCTTGCTCCATCACCCAGGCTGGAGTGCAGTGGCATGATCTCTGCCCACTACAACCTTCGCCTCCTGGGTTTGAGCAATTCTTCTGCCTCAGCCTTCTGAGTAGCTGGGACTACAGGTGCCCATTACCATGCCAGGCTAATTTTTGTATTTTTAGTAGAGATGGGGTTTAGCCATGTTGGCCAGGCTGGTCTCGAACTCCTGACCTCAGGTGATCCCCACCTCAGCCTCCCAAAGTGCTGGGATTACAGGCATGAGCAACTGTGCCTGGCTAGGACTGAATATTTCTGTCGTTCCCCTGAAAATTCATATGTTGAAATCCTAACTTTCAAAGTGATGGTATTAAGAGATGAGGCCCTTCATAGGTAATTACATCATGAGGGTGGATGGCTCATGAATGGGCTTAGTGCCCTTAAAAAAGAGATCCAAGAAAACTGTCTGGTCCTCTATCATATGAGGATACAATTAGAAGTCAACAGTATTCTCACACTGATTTCGGACTTCCAGTCTGCAGAACTGTGAAAAATACATTTCTATTGTTATACACCATCCAGTCTATGGGATATTTGTTATAGCAGGCCAAACTAACAAAGATAAACATAACTTTCCATGATATGGACAAGGCCAGATATTATTTAACCATGCTACTATTATTGAGCATTTAACCCATTTCCACAATTTTGCTATTGTAAAAAATGTGGTAGTTGTACATCCTTGTACATGAATCCCTGCAGATGCCTTTATGCCCTTCAGGTCACAGCCCAGTGCTGTGCATATATCAGCCCTCAGTAAATATTAAATGAACAAAGAAACCTGACTGGCTTCCAGGGACATGGGGAGCACTTATCAGATAGACACAGCATGTAAATTTACAGAGGCCCAACCCGCTGTCCAGCTATCACTCACCACTGCTCTTGTTGGCATGCTCCCTTCACCTCCTACCAGCTAAGTCAACCCTAGGGCTTAGGGAAAGGAGAAGATAGAAATTGCTTGCTCAGGACTCCCAGGTTCTAGCGCTCTCAGCAAACCTACCTGCTCTTCTTCACCTCTTGGTGAAGGAGACCTGCAGCCCTCCACTATCTAGCTAACTACCACACCCACTTCTGCCTCTGTTCAACCCCACCACCTCAGGAAAGCCATGGCTGACCTCCCTTTAAATCAATGTATGGCTCCCGTTCAGTGGAGGATACCAGTACTTAAGGTCACAACACTTGCTGTTCTGTTATTATTTGCTAACAGGACTGACTCCCTTGCCCAATCCAGGGCAACACCAGACAGCAGGCACAATGTGTTTTGCTCTCCACCCAAAATCCAATCCAGTGGAGGGCAAAATATCAATCCAGACAATGTGATTGATAAATGTGTCCACCAAATGAAATTTCAGATTCTAAAGCCCTTTGTTTTCACAAGAGGGAGGAGAAAGGGAGGGAAGCAGGACCTCCTAATCAACCCAAGTGCAAAGATGGATGGGGGCCTCGCAGGAGGTGGCTCCCTCCTCTGCACAGTCCTTCCTAGCCCAGAGACCCACCCAGACCAACTGGCTCCAGGGAACTGATGGCAAAGAAAGCGTTCAACAAACCCAGACTCAATGAAGTAACACTGCCCCACTCTAGGCTGGTTCTCCCCAGGAGGGACAACACAGACCTAAGAGAACAGGGGGCTTCCCTCCCCACCCACTTCTAATCAGAGAGTACCAGGCCACTCCTCACTGGTGATCCAAAAGGCCAGGGTATTGGGAGATGGAAATGTTTCAAGCAACTCAACCCACACTCTTTTTCTCTTTCTGTTTGCCCAGTGTCCTTGCCACACCCAAATGGAAAATAATGGGAAAATCTGGGTTGGGGAGAGTGCCAGGAACAGGAAGTTCCCTGGAACTTCAGGAGAAAAGGACCCAGGCTGGTCCTAAAATAAGGAAGGGCATAAGTTATGGGGAAGATAAGGAAGGAGGCCACAATATCCCATCACACACCCACGAAGGCCAAACCCCGGTCCTGGGCCAGCAGGCACACCCATTCCGACCTCTCTCAGGGATGCCTGGGGTCTCCCCGCCCCCTAAGTGTAGCAAACTCTTCTTGGAGCCCACTCCTTTTCCACTCTTGCAAGATTTTGCAGTTTACACAGCTTCCTCCTCTGAGAACTCATCTGACCCTTGGAACCACCTTACGGGGGCACCTTTGCCTTTCTACTTCATGGATGAGGAGGCTAGCTCAGATACATGAAACGAGCCGCCGCGTCACAGAGCTAGAAAGTGGCTGTGACTCGAGCCAGCCTCACTTGGGTGTAGGAGCAGAACTCCCCCACCGGGGCTACTAGCCGCGTCAACCCCACCCAGCCCACCAAGCCTGGCCTGTGGGCGGAGGCCCAGGTGGTGGCCCGCAGTTTCTCAGCCGCCTGGGGTCGAAACCAAGAACAAGGTGGCCCTAAATCAAGGTTTCTGGCAGTGCAGGTGGTAAGCACCCACATCCCACCCCGCACTCACACAGGTGCAGGGCTCGGAGTCTGACGCTGGGCGCAACCCCCAGCCCGCCGGCATCCCGCCGGAGCTGGTGGCTGTCCCCTGACCTGCACGCCCGCAAAGTTGTGGCCGTGGCGCAAGCACCCTGCCAGGGATCGCCCGGCGCCCCAGAGCTGCCTCCTGTCCCTGCGCCCGGGAGCGCTAAGCGGGGAGGGCACCGGGACTCCCGCTGTCTCCCGCGTAGCACCCCGTGCCCGCCTGCTGGCATGCACGCCCTCATCCCGGCGCCCCGGGCAGCTCCCAGCACGTCCCGCAGAGGGCTGGAGTAAAGAGCGCAGAAGGGCACGCGGGGCACACGTGCCGGCGCGGACCCCTGCCCCACAGTCTCACCCAGATCGCCAGCAGCAGCCACGCCGGCCCGGCCCGCGCCATCCCCGCTGCCGCTGCCCACCGCTGGCTCCTGTCTCCTCTCCCGCGCCCGCGCCCGCGCCCGCCCGCTCGCTAGCTCCACCGCGGCCAACCACCACCGCCACTTCCCAGCCGCTCCCCGCCTCCGAGTTCCCGGTGCCACGTCTGCCAAAGCATGCGCAGCAGCGGGGGAGAGAAGGCCGGGAAGAAGTGCTCGCTGGGAGTTGTAGTCTGCAGCCCGGCTCAGCTGGGGGCTGCAGGTGCGGACTGGGCTTCGAGGCCACGTGGCAGCGAGTGAAGAGCGAAAAGGCAAGGTCAGGGAGTAAGGAACGGCAATCAATACGCGAGGCTTGCTCTGTGCCTGGAGCTTCAGAAACAGTATCTCACGCAGCTCACAGAAATTAGGTTTTATCTTCACCACTTTGAGGATTAGGAGGCAGCCCAGGGAATTTAAGTATGTTGACCCAGATCACACAGCCAGTAAATGGCAGAGTACAGTGCTGCCTGTGAAGGATGGGAAAAGCTCTCATCCCTGCCTCCCAGACTCCCCCCTGCCTATTCTATTTAACTTCAGTAAAACATTATTGGGCTGTTAGAAAACAATTTGGTGGCTCCTCAAAAAGTTAAACATAGATTACCTTATGACCAGCAATTCCACCCATAAATACCCTAAAGAATTGAAAACAGGTATTCGAACAAATGCATGTACACCAGTGTTCACAGCAGCACTGTTTACAATAGCCAAAAGGTGGAAACAACTCTAAAGTCTGTCAAAGGATGAATGGATAAACAAAATGTGATACTTCCATCTAATGGAATGTTATTTAGCCATTAAAAGGAGTAAAGTGGCCCAGCAGGGCAGCTCATGACCGTAATCCCAACACTTTGGAAGGTCGATGCAGAAGGATCACTTTAAGCTCAGGAGTTTGAAACCAGCCTGGGCAACATAGAAAGAACTCATCTCTGCTAAAAATAAAAATAAAATAAAATAGCCAGGGTGCTGGTGAGGGCTTGTATTTTCAGCTATTTGGGAGGCTGAGGCAGGAGGATTGCTTGAACCTGGGATATGGAGAATGCAGTAAACTGAGATAACGCCACTGCACCCCAGCCTAGGCCGCAGAGTGAGACCCTATCTCAAAAAAAAAAAAAGTGATGTGTGTGTGAGGGAGTGGGGGGGTTAAAGTGTTAATACATGCTACAATAAATGAATCTCAGAAATGTATGCTAATGAAAGAAGTCAGCCACAAAAGGCCACATATGATGTGATTACATCTATATGAAATATTAAGAATAGGTAAATCCACAAAGATAGAAAGCATAGTAGTGATTGCCCAGGGCTGGGGGTGGGGAGGAAGGAATGGGGAATGACTAATTAATGAGTATAGGGACTCCTTTGAGGGTGATAAAAATATTTTGGAACTAGGTAGAGATGTTGGTTCTACAACATTGTGAATGTACTAAATGTCACCAAACTGTATACTTTAAAATGGTTAATTGATGTTATACACATTTTACCTGGGTAAAAATTTTCAAAAGAAAAAAACTATTGAACCCATTCCATGTGCTAAAGCAGGGGTCCCCAAACCCTGGGCGTCTGGACAGTCTGTGGCCTGTTAGGAACTAGGTGAGCAGTGGGCCAGCGAGTATTACTGCCTGAGCTTTGCCTCCTATCAAATCAGCAGTGGCATTTGATTCTCATAGGAGTGTGAATCCTTTTGTGAACTGCACATTCAAGGAATCTAGGTTGTGAGCTCCTTATGAGAAGCTAACACTAATGCCTGATGATCTGAGGTGGAACAAAGCCATCCCCTGCCCCCCCACTATCGTCTCTGGTGCCAAAAAGGTTGGGCCCTGTTGTGCTAAAGCATTTGTGCCTGCAGTCACTTTATGCATTCAAGAATGTTTATTGAACATTTACTATGTCCTGAAGCTCAAGACATCCAGGAGTGAGTTGGACAAGAGAAATGCACAGTCAGAGGTTGGTAAGTTACAGCTGAAAGGTCCTTGCCTTCCATCAGGAGGGTCAAAGCTCAAAGCTTAGAAGTCATCTATCACTCGCTTCCTTTTCTCAACAGGCACATCCAACCCCTCACCACATCCTGTCAGTGTTACCTCCAAAATATATCTCTTCTGCCACCTCCCGAGTCCAAGTCACTGACATGTCAGTGACTATTACCTGGGGAAGAGTAACAGCCTCTGCAAGAGTGTGCCTGCTTCTCCCCTGTACCATCCATTTGTTAATGTCAGTTGGATCTTGCTTACCCTTACCCTGAAACCCTCCAGTAGTCTCCCATTGCCCTTAGAATAAAATCCAAACTCTTCCCACGACCTGCAAGCCCTGCATGACCTAGGCCCTCGCCCGGTAGAACTCATCTCCTGCCTCCCCCCACCCCTGCCCACCCAGTCCAGTTTCACAGATCATCATTTCCTTGCCCCTCCCCGCTCCGGAGCTGCTCCTGCATCCGAGCTTGTGCTCCTCCTATTCTCTCTGGCTCAGCAATTTCCTTGGTCTTTGTCTGGCTGGTGCCTTGGAATCCTTCAGGGTTCTCCTATCTGTCCGTTCTCAGAGAAGCCCTTCAGAGCAGCCCACCTATAGGTGAGTTTACCCTCCCCACTGCCAAGCTCCTTTTTCTCTATCTCAGCTTCTGCTTAGATTCTGTTGCTTCCTTCCCCAGCACCTACTACAGTCGACAAGACTTACTGAGTCCTTGTGTTCATTGTCTGTTGCTCCAACCTGAATGTCAGTTTCCTGGCTCTCTGTTCATCACCTTTCTTCCAGAGCCTAGCACAGGACAGAGCCACAGATCATTCTGGATATTCTTTTTGATGAATGAATGAATGATTGAGCAAGGTAATGTGTTGGGAAGGGTCAGAAATTCCTAAAGCAGTCTGGGGACAGGGCTTCCTTGGCATGCTTTGCTCTGCAACCTCAAACTCATGATCTGCACGTGGGAAAGTGAACCTTGCACCCCCTCTGTGGGTCTCTGTTTCTCATCTGTAAAATGAGGTGGTTGGTGAGGATGCAGAGCTACTGGAACACTCACATGTTGCTGTGGGAATGTAGATTGGCTCACCTACTTTGGACAACTGTACATGTACGAAATCTGCACCAAAATGTTCATGGAAGCTTTGTTGGTAGAAACTGTTATGGACTTGTGTCCTCCCAAAATTCATATGTTGAAGTCCTAACTACACGCTTAGTACATCAGAATATGACCGTATTTGGAGCCTTTAAAGAGGTAATTAAAGGACACGTGTGGTGGTACATGCCTGTAATCCCAGCATTTTGGGAGGCCGAGGCGGGCAGATCACCTGAGGTCAGGAGTTCGAGACCAGCCTGACCAACATGGAGAAACTCCGTGTCTACTAAAAATACAAAATTAGACAGGCGTGGTGGTGCATGCCTGTAATCCCAGCTACTTGGGAGACTGAGGCAGAAGAATCCCTTGAACCCGGGAGGTGGAGGTTGTGGTGAGCCGAGATCCTGCCATTGCACTCCAGTCTGGCCAACAAAAGTGAAATTCCGTCTCAAAAACAAACAAACAAAAAGACGTAATTAAGGTTCAATGAGGTCATTGTGGTAGACCCTAGTCCCATTTGGCTGTTTTCCTTATAAAAAGAGACTAGGAACATATATAGAGGAAAGACCATGTGAAGACACAGAGAGAAGACAGTCAACCAAGCCAAGGAGAGAGGCCCTCAGAAGTCAACCCTGCCCAAATCTTGATTGTAGATTTCTAGCTTTTAGAATAATAAAAAAATAAATCTCTGTCATTTAAGCCACCAAGTCTGTGGTGGTCTTTTATGGCAGCCCTAACAAACTGGTACAGTAGCCCAAACTGGAAACAGCCCAACAGTCAGAATAGAATAGATAAATTTGTGATAGCATTTCTGAAAAAAGAGAGAGAACAAACTACTGATATATGTAACAATGTGGATTAATCTCAAAATCCTGATGTAGAGCAAAAGTAGCCAGACACAAAATAATATGTACTGTATGATTCCATTTATCTGAAGCTCAAGAACAGGCAAGTACAGTCTGTGATGATAAAAGAAAACAAGTGGACAAGGAATAGAGACGGACTGCGGCGAAAGCAAGAGCAAACCTTCCAGGTACTGGAAATGCTCTGCATCTTGCTCTTTTGTTTGTTTGTTTTGAGGCAGAGTCTCAAAACCCAGAGTCTCAAAGTCCAGCCCAGGCTGGAGTACAGTTATGTAAGCTCAGCTCACTGAAACCTCCACCTCCCGGGCTCAAGCCATCCTCCCTCCTCAGCCTCCCAAGTAGCTGGGACCGCAGGTGCACACCACCACACTGGGCTAATTTTTGTATTTTTAGTAGAGACAGGGTTTTGCTATGTTGCCCAAGGTGGTCTTAGACTCCCGGGCTCAAATGATCTGCCCACCTCAGCCTCCCAAAGTGCTGGGATTACAGATGTGAGCCGCTGTGCCCTGCCTGTATCTTGATTCAATGGTAGTTACATAACATTTAAAATTAAATGTATTATTCCAGTTGAATTGATTTACTATCTGAGCTATATGCTGAGATTTTACAGTTTATATACACTATCTCTTAGTCTTTTTCTTAAGTCATTAAACAATGAAGGGTGGGGTGAATCAGCTAATCTTCAGGATTCCTTGTAGCTCTTGTATCTTCCAAGTCCAAGACTCGCTAAAAGTTCCTGGGTCCAGGGAGGGCTAAACTCTGCAGAAATGTAACTGCCAAAAGGGGTGAGAGCCAGGGGAGGAAGGGAGGAAGGAAGTTATGCACCTGAGAGCCAGGGAAACAGAGGGCAAGGGACCGAGGGGGGAAAATAAACATTTCCAAGAAAACAAGCCATTTCACTCTGCAATTGAAACAAACTAAAATGCAATTTGTGGCCCTTCTGGGAATGCTTACCAATTCCAAGCTTCACTCTCCTTGAAATATTAGAAGAATAGCACAGGGCAAACACTGTCCCTCCTCCATTAGACCCCTCAATGGGCACCATCCATTTTCCAGCAGCAGCCCCACAGGGCCAGGCCAGAGACACTTCTTGTCCTGCAGTTTATTGCGAATTGTGACACCACATTATATTTGTGTAGCCAGTTCCGCTCCATCATCTCGGCTGGGATGAGGACTAGCACAATGACCATTTTCTGATGTTCAAGCAAGATAAGAATTGGCCCAGAAAAAAAGGA